AAATGGGTAACGACACATGGTGAAGAACCTCGCCTCCCTGGCATAAATCTAACTCACGATCAACTATTTTTTCTTAACTATGCGCAAATCTGGTGTGGCTCGATGACGCCTGAGGATGCATTAACAAAAATTCGCAGTAGCGTTCACTCCCCAGGACCTTTCAGGGTCCTCGGTCCACTCTCCAACAGTGAAGATTTCGCCAGGGCCTACAATTGTCCCCCAGGTTCCCCGATGAACCCCATCCACAAGTGCAGCGTCTGGTAATCATATTTATTTAGCCAGAACCAAAGGATAATCAAATATATGGAAATTAAAATAAAAAATAATCATATTGAATAATTGCATAATTGAACGGGGGACCGAAGCATCCCAATGTGTTTCTAAGAGCTTTATAACTGACAATGTTCATGCATTGATTATTCAGTCTTCAGGGCTTGAATAATTGTGTAAAATCCGTGGTCAAATCACATTACAGTATAATTTTCAATTATTTCACAAAAAATAACGTGAACTCCATAAGTTCCAGTCAAGGGCAATCTCTTGAAATTTGTAGGTAAAAAATCTAAAAATATAATTTATCGGTGACTCATTTTTCTGCAACTCAACCACTGGGGCACCCGAAACCTAGAAATCGGGGATTATTTATTGTACCACATTTGTTGGATGAAGAAAGTAAATTTAATATAATTTTTGAAAAAAAACCAAGTGGAAAATTCACAAAAAATATACATAGACTTAATGGATGTTCAATGTCTCTGCACAATTGTTTTAATATAAAAGCAAAAAATTCATTGGACGCTAGAATTAATCATCGTTAATTGAAGGGGGTGATTGATAATTTGACGATTGAATTTATTCAGCATTAAGTGGAGATTGTCTCGACAATTTTTGACCAGAAAATATCTATGATTTGTTTTCAATTTTCAACGTCGTTAAACATTGAAAAATATTTAGTGGTTGAAAAATTAATCATGGTTCGGTGAAAAAATAATTGATACTTAAGTATTTAAATAAAAAGAGCATTTCATGTATTTGTTGAAAGTTTTACTCTAATATTGTAACATATTATCGATACATAGCAGCATGGACCATGCCTTGCCTGTTTCTATGTGAAAAAAATGAGGAAAAGAAAGAGCAGAAATATAAATATTATACAATATACGAAGGCTTCACTCATTAACTCATCATCAATCCTCCAACGATGCGGTACTCTCACGATATTGATCCATCAATCAGCATAAATAATCCAATTATTTTCAATGGCATATCTGTCATTGAATCCCACGCTATTCACCTCGCCCCCTTATCTCTCTGTATAAAAAGGTAAATTTAATTTCGATTTGTACATATTGCACGCTCCAATATTAATCACCTAATCAGTAATAATTATCATTAAATTAATCATTGATAACAATTAATGCATAATCATACGCAATTCAAATACTTCTAAAGAAACAGGGAATCAGTTGTAAACGGATGAGAGAAGATCAATTCAAAGGTTAAATAAAATTCAACTATCTCCACCACAATAATATCCCCGAACAAAAAAAAAATATCAATCGAATTAATCTTCTTCCGTGAATAAAACCCAAAATTTAACACAAACTCCACTAATAGTCACTCGTTCATTACTTCACTTCACTTTATTATTCTTTTAATAATCTATAATCATTACTCATCATTCCCCTCAACTCTTTACCCGCCTATTATGCCACTTAAATACAAATGTGTCTGGTTCGTCATCAACCACTCGTGTAACGTGTACGTGTATTTTCATTAGTATTAAACTAAAAATTAATTAAATTTTAATTAAAAATAATATTAGCATTTTATCATTTCATTATCATGCATAATGAATTATTATTCATCATAATAATACAATAACTAGAGCCACCAACTGCTCCTGTACAATGTTTATATGCGGACATTTTGTTTTATTTTCTATTTCATTCCATCTCAGAATAACTCCGATCACTTTTCATTGCTCAATGATGTCCCTCTCCCTTTTCCCTTTTTTTTTTCCTATTTTCATGTCAATAATGCGCACTGAGCCGCGGAAAATTACACGATACGATGCCGCTTGTTACATTAAAATAATGTTAATAATTACAAAATCTACATTTTTATTTTCGGTAATGTCTCGTTAATTCAACCAATTTTCCGTCCCCTGTGTTTCTGAGATCTGAGATTTTTTGGTGTTTCCGAAGAGAAATTATCCATCAACCAATTGTTTATACATTTTATGTGAAAAAAGGGGACGATTTGGTAGTGAAATCAGCAGTTAAATGTAAAACGGGTCAAATAGACTCTTATTAACAATCAGGTTTTTCCGTGAAATCTCCATCAAATTTTGAGGGATTTGAGAAAAATCTGATCGATCAGAAGAATCGAATTGTCGTTTTGCTACTGAAGTCATCGATTGAGGAAAATCCTCTCGGTCAATATATCGACCGAATAACAACAGCAACACTTGTTAAAAGCTCCAACACCCTGATGAACCATTTCATAATCATTATCACTATTATTTCAGTTAATTATGTCGGTATTCTTTCTCTCTAGTAACTTGCAACTACGAAAATTCGTCACTTTAATTATTAATTTTTACGCAACCCGTTCAAGTTCCATTCGAAAATATACTCTATGCATATAGTGTTCTTTTTGTCTCATTAATTAATCCACTGATTAATTTTTATTGTAATGTAAATATCGTACTCGTTCATATCTACATTTGTTCTGTTTTCACCTGTTTCATGAGATTTTAAGTGAGGATGTACAATTGTACGAGGAAGAGAATCTCTACAAAGAAATGCCTCGGGTTATATCTCCTCAACAACTTACTCATTATCAAAATAATGGAGTAATTAAACATGAGTTGAAAATGTCAAAGGAAAATTCAATTGAATGTACAATTCCTATTTCACTTGCAAATTTTCTTTCGTTTCTCATGTCCCAATTTCGTATTAAATTGTCATCGATTTTTTTTTCCAATTCCCAATCAATATTAACGGGATTTATCATATCAATTGAAATTTTCATGAGCATTTAATTGTAGGGAATCCCAGCCTAATGTCCTCCAGTGACAAAAATTTTTCCACCAACAGTTGAAAATCCTTTACATTTAATTGTACGTACAATGACCGGGCTATAATAATTGTTGATTATTTTTATTTAATTATTTTTGTTTCATTCATAAGCAAGGAACATCAGAAAAATACTCTTCTGCATCAAACAACTATATCTCCGGCTCAATAACCCTCTCGTCGTTTTTCTTTTATTTATAAAATAGTCTGGTCGATTTTATTTTTCTTTTCGGAAACACCTGGGTCTCATCGTTTATTCAACTGGGGAAGAGAGAATTTCTGTTCTGTGTGATGAGATGAAGGTTTAAGAATTTTCTGGTGGTGAAATGAGAAATTTAATTCAAGAGCTCGGGGCTGGACTCTATCGACTCGAGGGTGATTCTCGAAATTACTCTTACCACTCAGCTTATTCGTTATTATGAGTAGTCGATTAGATAAGCCTTAGATTTATTTAGAGTATTATTATCGGGATTTACGTGATTACGTCACACTCAGAGACAATTGATCGGTGCCATTCTTTTTTTTTTCTAATGAATTTCGAA